AAAAGGGTAGATGGTAATGGAGAGAGAGAATTTTCCCATAATAGAAAACTCCATGTGTTCAGATTTGTTTTGTTATGTTATCACTGTTATTTTCCTGTTTGTATATTTAACTGCGTATGAACCTATTTACCTTGTAACAAAAGGCAGAAAATCCTTCCAGTAATCTGCTTGGAGGTCAGTCAGTCTCACAGATGGTCAGAGTGTTTTTCTGCACGTACAGATAGTTGCTACAGCTGAACCTCAGAGAAATATTTGGAATTCTTTATTTCACAAGATTCAGAGTCAAGGGGAAAGAATGAACCTTGGTATTTTCCTTCCTATCTCTCTCCCAACCTCCGTTTAAGTAAACTCTATTTTGACTCGCACATTCCTCTCACATGTGGTAAGGTCAAGAAAACACTTTATGCTTATTTTCTCTTGAGTCCTTTTCTGACTGTTTAACTCTTTCTGTACAGGGGCAATGAAGACACACCTTACAAAGTGGAACACACTATGGCCTATCCTAAGAGCAAAGCAAAGGCAGAGAAAATTGTGCTTGAAGCTAATGGCACCAAGGTAATTTATGTTTAACAATGTTATGGTTTGGGGTGTTTTTATTGAGGCAGATGTATTAAAATCTCATTTCAACAGAAATAAACTGCAGTGGTTATAAGTTTCAGAAAATGATGCAATGGAAGCAATTAAAGCTGCAGATGCAAAATAGAAAAACACATGTATCAGCATTAAGATATATGTGTATAGATTATTATAAGTACTATAATGGGGGACATCAACTTGTATACTCTTTTTTTTTATTGACTCACAAACTTTTTTCTATGCTATTTACACTGACAGCCTATAACAAGTTATGAAGAAATGTCTTGGGCAACTTTGCCACAAAATGCTAGATTCTCCCCTTGTGGCCTTGCTGGGGTGTCACTCTAGCTGTTTACAATCCAACTCCAAAACAATCTACCCTTTGTCCACCCATGAATATGTTTTTATTTGCCTCCTGTCTCAATTCCCAATCCTGGTATTGTCATTCTCAGATAAAGGGCGGAAAGACTTTATACACGTGTTCCCTGAGGCCGACAGGGATCTATGGAGAGGGGCACCAGCTAATCAAGGCTTTCTACGATAAGGGTGCCGAGCGGGGAGGCATGATCATTGGCGGCATCCCAGAGTCCTCTGAACATGGACGTGTCTATGCAGGTAATGCTACTTTCTTTGTGAGTCATAGTCACAACATCAGGGACATGTCAGAAGTAACCAATATAGCTCTTGAACATGGCTTTTGTTCACACCAAGACTAAAAGCAGAAGGAAGGTTGCTATGTGAGAGCTTTTTTCCTCTGCATTCACATGCGTTTCCTTGTATCTGATACAGCCAGACTGTACAAACATTTAAAAAAAGGCTGAGGTTCTCTTAAACCGCTTCCTCAACAGCTGCTAGTCAGTCTGCTAAAAGAAGATGTGTAACTTAGAGATTGTACAACATGATAACATGAGCAGTGAGGATACTTCAAACCAGATGGCTTGGCTGTGATATGTGAATAGTATCATAAATCTATATACACCTTGTTAAATACATCTGTCCCACCAACCACAAACCAGTTTCAACATGCTGGTTTCGGTGATGATACATTTTTCTTTTTTTATTCACTCGTGGCAAAGGTTGTTGTCAAGGACCAAATTAGTATCATCAGTAGTGCACGTGAGCATGAGTAACAGTCAGCATTTATAGTCTTGGTGACCAATATTTTTAGCACCCTAACTAATGCTGATATAACAGAACCTTAATGTAAAAAGATCTACTGTTGATATATTTGAACTAATGTGGAGGCAAGTTCACGATTAGTACATTAGACACTGAAAGCGCATTTGTTTCGATTGTACCTTGGCAATTCAATTATTATATGTATATATATATATATATATATATATGTCACTAATTCACCAGCACTCTTACAATGGTATGACTTACTTGAAGTGAATATATCTGCACTTTCGTTGTTGTTCAGAGTTTTAATCTCTATGGTTTTTGAACCTTTTGGATAAAAGTGTCAGTCAAATGAAATGTAAATGTAACACTTTAGAGATTCTGAAATATAATAGAGGACTTTGTCGATGCAATGTGGTCACAGCTGTGAAGCAACTGCATGTTTTCTTGAGAGTTGTTCTGCACAAGTTAGATGTAAGATAAATATGTATTGATCACCACTGGATTTTGTTTTACTAGTTAAAGAGAAGATTGTTATTTCATATACAACTTTGGTTTTTCGCATTAAACATTGGTGCCACATACAGCCGTACATTTTGTTTTTAACAATAAATGTTTACTTAGTAAAACATAAGTTCTATATGTTTCATATAAATAATGGGTTCAAATGGTTATGGGCTATAAACTTGTTTATAGAAAGAAATGTGAAAGTGTGTAAAACAACAGCGGTGGGCAGGAGGAAAGACCCTCAGACTGGCTGCTTTTTCTTTTGGTACTCTGGGATATTTAACTGTTAGCAATTTCTACTCATCAATCAAATGTTATGTCCATTGCCTAATGTCACAATAAATTATCTTTAGGTTACTGAGGTAAATGTTTTGAATACTTCTTCCATCATTCAATCTGGTGTTCACCCACTTGTTTCTGTTCCTAGGCAACGTGGCCTGGATGCATGTACTCGCAGCCCAAGCCCTAGTTGAGCGGCCCATGACGGTCGGTGGTGAAGCTTTCTTCTGCTACGATGACTCGCCCTACAAGAACTACGAGGATTTCAACATGCTGTTTCTCTCCAAATTTAACTTCCGACTGGTTCGCATGCCCTTACTGGTGCTCTGGTTCCTGGCCATGCTCAATGACCTGCTCCGATGGATCGTGAGCCCCTTGTACAACTACACACCGCTGCTGAACAGTTACACCTTTGCTGTGGCTTCTACCTCCTTCACTGTCCGCACAGATAAAGCCCAGCGATTCTTCCAGTACAGGCCTCTGTACGACTGGGAACAATGTCTGGCCCACACACAGAAATGGGTTGATACATTCCCTAACAAGGATAACCACAAGGACGCCTAATGTGAACTCAACTACTTCAACATGCACCAAAAGCTGCTATTTAGACATGCAGGACTCCAGGTATACAGTGTAGAGAAGTAACCTGCCATTAGGCGACAATGCAATCAAGAAAAGCAAACTATTTACAGTATAAAACGTTATATTTAAGTAAGTCTATCATTTGTATTGTAGTGATAAGCTTGTTAAGAATGTGCAATAGTATTCAGATATTTAACATTTCTACATCATGTAATTATGTGGATAAGACCAATGTAAACACCATTTACATTTTTTTAATATATATATAAAGACATAGACGATGAAATATATGTTGTTTGAAATAAATATAATTTAATATATTCTTCATGGCTCTGCTTGTTGGGATTTTGCATTTGATTCACACAAAAAAAGAATGCATTTTCCATTATTTTCTTTCCAAAACTGATTTTAATAATGATTGTTATGGTGTGCATCAGTTGTACACTTTGAGGATCTAAGTCCTTGATCATTGTTTTTTTTTCCATAACATTCCCTCATGGTTAATGTGAGTTCTCCAACTGTATTTCCATGGAGACAATACACTTTGTTTACAGCACAAAGGATAGGCTTTCGTTATACTCTTGTGGAAACTTGCCATCAGACTCCATGACAACCAGCTGTATGGTATTTATTTGTATTAGTAAGACAAATGATATGGGAGTTCCCTTTGACATCATTCCAGCATTACAGGCTTGGGTGTCCCCGGCTTTAACCATGGTAATCCTCATAACAATCACATGCCTGCTAGTCAAGAACATGAGTGCAGAGAAATGACTCACTGTCCCCACACTGAATCTCCCCAAACAAAACAAAACAAAGGACAGTTGTGGAAATGTTATACTATTTCAAATAGCATTAATTTGTCTTCTAACAAAAGTATCAAGTTGTTAAATTCTGCATTTTATAATGCAGTCCAGTATATTATACTGTATGTTTGGTGTGAGCATGCCTGGGCACAAGTATGTTTAATAGATGTGTTTTGGATCTGACTCTGAACCTTCAGAGTTGCTTGTTTTTGACGGGATACTGCCATCTACTGGTTCAACTAAACATACAAGTAAAATATCGAGAGTACAGATAATTGTGCATTTTTATTATAAGATGTTTCCATTTCCCCTACCATCATTGGACATTCATGTTTTTTTTTTAATAATAATAACAAATTATTGAGAATGTCAAACTTATTTTGAGGGTGCTTTACAAATACACACATTTGATTCCTGAATAGTGTAATGTGTGTGATTGTGGTAAAATGAAATGAAATGAAAATTTCACTAACCATTAGTGTATAGTCAATGGTTTTATAAGTAATAATATAATTATCTTTAGTAAAAATATCAATATCTGAGTGTAAAATACTCACAGTTAAAGTCAAAGACATGCGCAACCTGGTTTTTAATTTTTTTTGACAATTATTTTCCAGTGTAAGAGTTTAATAAATTAGGTAGCCTACTAACCTACGGTATTATTATTTTATAAATACATAATGAACACTTTATCCTTCAGTTTGCTATAGAGATTCAAACTCACCAAATGTGGGGAAATATTGTTTTCACGTGAAGGCTCCAGGAGAGTAGGCCCACAAGTAACACAACTTTGTACCTCAGTACAATGCTGGAGCAAGTGTAGTTACATCCCACCATAAGTAGCTACTAACTGAAGTTGAAGACAGGCCTAAATGTAGTGAGTATACAAATAGCCTACAATATTTATATGTGAATGTGAACTGTAGTAGAGTTAAGTATAAAGTCACAAAATAGAAATACTCGAGTAAAGTATGTGTTGTTAAGTACAGTACTGAATGAGTGCAATCATTTACTTTCTAAACTGTGTAAAATGCATAATGCATTGTTAGTGTAATAAAACGTCTTTCTGCTGTGGAAGGGAGGCTCCGTACGTGCGTGTGCCCGACGACATTGACGAGAACACGCACGTAGCTGTCAGTAGGAAATGCAGGCTGGTGTTGGATGTAGCCCTGCCGCTGTGCTTGGATACATTTAACAAAGAAATTCCCTTTTGTTTCAGAATGAACACTATAACTTAGAATGGTTATTTGAATTAAGAGAGAATGGTCGCAAAAAGAGTGCGTGTCTAACCGAGGTAACCGAAACACTCAGCTAGCTATTTATGCTAACTGAAACACTATCGGCGCTAATGCTAATAGTACATATTGCTAAACTAAGCTAGCTGCTAACTTAGCCAGCTAGCTCGCCGATTGCAGGACGTTTGTTCTTCCAGTTCCTCGCCCCGTGCCGCGGCTCCTGCCCCTTTGGTTTTTCGTGTTTTCATTTCACGGGGCAGGTTGCGGGACCGGAGCTGTGGCGGGGGGAACTAACGGATAGGAACCCCCTGGCTGTCCAGGCGGACGGATCACAGTGACACGCCGGTGTTGGGTGAGTTGACTAGCTGAGCTGAAGTTGACCAGGGCAGTGGGGTGGACAAGGCCGAGGACGCTGTTCGGCCAGGGCCTGGCGGGGAGGGAGGGTGTTGACTATTAGCTATTAGTAAACCACTGCTCCTGTGTGCTGAATCGGGAAGTTGAGTCGCTCCGAGGGAGGCCTCAGGGGAGGATATGACAACAAATTACCTGCTAGCATGAAACTGATATAGTGTCTGGAACTACAGACGGCAACCTGCCTCATCAGCAGAATACCGGATAACTATGGTTGTCGGAATGCTTTGTTGACAACGTTAGCTAAATGCCAGTGCACTGTTACATCGGTTGATTAAACCGTTATTTCTACAGTAATGGTTTCCTTTCGCTCTTGACTGACTAAATCAAAGTGCTTAACCGGGGTTATATGTTCTCTCTTGAAAAATAAGTTGCTTTTTTATGCTATGCTATCATTAAATGTCTGATATTCTCTTCTGTGCAGCAAAACATGAAATGTAGCAACTTGAAACATGTATTAATGGAAACCTTTTTTCAGTAACAACAAATAAATACCACATGATGTGAAGTTACACGTACATAAGTTAAGGCTGAAAGGGGATTAAAAGTTATAAAGATTGTTTATGTTATATGCTGTCTCCCAAAAAATCTATTGTTTCAAACTTAAGTTATGTAGCTGCTTCTCCAATCCAATTCTCTGACTCAAATTTAAGAAGAGGAACTTTCTGCTTATGCATTACAGAAAATGGCATATCTGAAATTCATAAACATTTGGTCATCTTTTGTGATAAACTTTGAGCTTTAATGTTGCCACATTCATGAATTGTTGCTGAGAATATTTGTGTCTCTATCCACTGTAAAAAAAACAACAACATATATACATAATCAAAGCTGCGTTTATTTTATTGAACTAATGGAAATCTGTCATGACGTAACACACAGTTGTTATTTGGCAAAAAGAAAGCTAAGCTCCATCATCTTCTTTTTCGTTTGTAAAGGAGAGATCAGAGCGGAACCATGGCCGAACTCTCCACGCTATCCCCATCACCCCCCGCGTTGGGGGATCCTCATGTAGCTCCATCCATCCCTCCATCCTCATCAGCACAACATGCTATCAACCACCCTGTTCCAGAGTCTGCCATGGAGAAGCCCTCACTCATGTCGTCCCTCTACAATGACAAAGCTTTGACTGGAAACACTCCTGCAGCTCAGTCAGGGGGATCACCCTTCACCCCCCACCCACCCTTGAGTCCTACAAAACTCACTGCTGACACTCCCCTCTCGTTATTGGTACATGAGGCTTCTCCACAGAGAGAGGAATCACCAGGGAAAGATGCAGAGACTGTACCTGATGTTATGAAGCAGGAGACAAGTGACCCACCAGCTGCAGAATGCTTGAATACTGAAACAGCGACCCCGGCACCGCCGAGCGAGCTATCATCAGCTCCGCCGAGCGAGCCATCATCAGCTCCGCCGAACGAGCCATCATCAGCTCTGCCGAACGAGCCATCATCAGCTCCGCCGAGCGAGCCATCAGCTCCAAGTGAAGGGCCACAGGCATCACCCTCTCCTGATCTTAATCCTGGTCCTAATCTCTACCCCAATGTCCATGTCACCCACAATCCAAATCCTGTCATGGATGATGGTACATTTACAGCGAGCCAACCCCAGATCGCTGCAGCTTCCAATGCCACGCCTGCTGCTGCAGCATCCATCGACAGCACGTCAGCCGTAGAGGAGAAACCTCAGCCACTTCAACAAGAACAAATCCCTCAAAGTCTGCCTCCTCCTCCTCCTCTCTCCCCAAAGCCTGCAACTCCCAGTGAAGCAACTAAAGCAGAACTGCCAAGCACCCCCACCAGAGCCGAACCCCCCAGCCCTAGTGTCCCACTGATACTGGAGCCAGATTCTCCCTTCCCCCTGCCCAAGTCCCGGCCGGCCCCTGACACCCTGAGCTACCTGGAGTCAGCCAGCATCATGTCAGGGACGTTGGAGTCTCTATCTGGACTGGGAGAGGACGGCAGCTCTGTGGGCTCAGACTCTGAGGTCAACGGCATGTCTGTCAGACGCACTGATAAATATGGATTCCTAGGTGGAAATCAGTACAGTGAAAGCGGGTAAGCATTAAACTCCTGTCTATATGCAAAGTATTGATCACAGATAGGTCTGAGATATTTAGAAATAAAGATGGCTGAGTGGAAAGAGAGACACCTCTCTTCTTTTAACTTTATCAATTATATTAAATAATCAAGTATTTAATACATTATTCCATCAATGAATCAAGTAAACTGATAAGAAAAACAAATGTTTTTAGAAAGAAATATAACAAAGAGAAACAAATATAATATTTACACAAAATGTCTCGTCTTATGGGCTTCACCTAGGAAAGCAATCATTTTAACAGATTCAACTGTGATGATGTCTTCGAATTCAGACTTGATACTTATTAATTAAATCATGAAACAATAGTCAAGACTTTTGCTTAGTTTCTTCAGGAATTGTTTTAGCCATGATGCAGAAAGTTCACTTTTTGCAATGCAAGATATTATTCGATTATGACCGAATAATTACTTTGCACAGATCAATTTAAATCCTGCCTATCTTCCTTTCAATCTGTCACTTTGCCGAACATCTAAACTGCCCTCCATCTGCCCCAAAGAGATTTCCTCTCTTCTCTGCCCCGTTCCTGTCTTCCTCTCCTTCTCTGCTGCTCTAAACATATTTGTCCGTCCTTTATCTCTCATTGGCCTGACTCAGATAATGCTGAGAGCATTTCAGTGATTCAATATGTACTGACTGTGTGTCTCCGTGGTGTCGCCTCTCACGCCCATCTGCTCTCTTCCTCTTTTCGGTCCCATTTGCTTCTACTTTTTCTCTCAAGCTAATTGCTCTTCCGCTGTTGAATAATTGAAAATATATTGATTCACCATCAGTAGTGGCAGTGCATTCTGTACAATGTAAAGGATGTTCTATATCTGAGCTATTTAGCTGAATGTTGTACAGATGTATGTAAAAGAGAGATTGTGGTATTTTGTATGTGTCATTAGATCAAAGTTAATGTTTCAGAGTGCAATATTTAGGAGTGTGGAAGTGTCCTAATTCTGTCAATAATGAGGTCATTTTTGTATTACTCACTATTCTAGTGAAAAGGATGTTCGCGTTGAAGTTGCCAGACAGCGGGAAGTAAAATGGCTGGATATGTTTTACCACTGGGACAAATGGGTCAAACATCGCTTCCAAAAGGTACGCATGTCAGCCTTGTAGCGCTGTAACGAAATACTTTAAAGCTTTGTTCGTAACGGTGACATTTAGATTATCAATCGACATTGAAATGATGTGCACCCTGTTTTTTTTGTGTTTTTTTTTCATGTCTGTTCTTTCATTTAAAACCTGGTATTTCCTGAAGTTGCAGGAAAAGATTAGGTTACACTGACACTATAATGTTTAACACTATTTGTAGAATAAGATTTCAGTGGGAAGGCTGTTTCTGACTTGTGCAATCCAGACATTTACAAAGGGTCCAAAAGTCCAATTGAACTGAATGCAAATAGATGGATAGTTATATTTTCCCAAATTCACGTTCTGCTTCAATCTTTTTTTTGTTGGCATTAAGCCCTTCAAATTGAGGATTTAATTTTTTCTTTAGTTCGATAACATCAATACGTTGACAGACATTTTAAGTTTCATTTGAAAACATTCGGTACAACCCTCGTCTTAGGATATGTTTTTATACATAATTGGTTTGGTTATACATAACATAATGCCAGAGCTGATACAGTGTCTTTGTGTATGTTAAAGGTGAAGCTGCGCTGCAGGAAGGGGATTCCCTCTTCTCTCAGATCCAAAGCCTGGCAGCTTCTGTCCAACAGCCAAGAGCTCCTGGACGCCAACCCTGGGAAATTTGAGGTATCTGTGACCATGTTGTTGTCATTTTAACTTTTACATTCAACACAGAGGATAAAGGATAAAACAAAATACATGAACTCTAAGATGCTCTCATATATTCACTCAGTCGTCGGTACAGTTCATAGATGAAATTCAACTGCCATTGAAAGCATACAGACATTTTTGCAACGTTTCTTGCATGGAAAATAAAAATGTAATCGGTACATTCAAACAAAACATTGACTTTATAACATTTAATTTATACCATATTTTTGTTAAACCTTGTTTTTAAGGTTTCTCTATGGTTTGCTTTGGATTTGCATGTGTTACAAATTGCAAACTTTATGTCTTAATCACTCACACCACAACTCGTCCACATAGACCTGCATGCTGTTTACAGTCTGTGCCGCTGTGTTCGCATTGTAAATCCATCATGCATTTGGTAATGTTCCTCCTTTTTAAGCCTCTCATAGATCTGAAAATGCTTTAGTAGCAAGTCAGCCACACATGGAAATATGAACCTATATTTGAATCCCTTGTTTCTCAAATCAACTCAGTTATTTGTGTTATTTTATTTTCATCCTGGTTTAGAAGATAAAGTCTCAAAGTGGGGAGCTGAGTAGGCCAATGTGAGCTTCAGGGGTGCTAAAGGGGCGCAGGCGCAGACCTGGTGAACTGTAAGCCTCTTATCAGGAGCGGTAATCCTGCCTGCCTTTGGTCCACGTTGGTTGGTGTGTGTGGTTGGGGTGGGGGGTTTGAAGCAGTCTGTTTGTTTTGCCTGTAAAATACTCTTAAACGTGGTCTCATACATGGTTTTGCAGTCTTATCCAATTGGATGGGCAATCTGAAAACAGACTCCATGAGTGAAGGAGATTGTTTTGGTAATCTTGTATTGAATGTTTTTGTAATTGCAGGAGCTGGAGAGAGAGCCAGGAGAAGCTAAATGGCTGGACATCATAGAGAAGGATCTCCACAGACAGTTTCCTTTCCACGAGATGTTTGCTGCTCGTGGTGGACACGGGTAAAAAAACATACAGTCTGTTTTACATCACAGTAAACATGAATGATTGACAAAGTAAAATGTACGCACTAATCATAAACTTCAAAGTAAAATGTAGCCATTAGCAGACTTAGGCCCAATCCCAAACCACGCCCTACACCCTACCCCTACACACTCCCCCTCCGTGACGAAGTAAACTCCGTGGAGTGACACTCGCAGCTCAACGAGGCTCCCTCCTGTCAGATGGAGGGAGTAAATACAGCAGCAAGCTTTGAGACGGCCTCCCCTCTCTCCGGCAGAAACAGGAAACGCCGTAACAGTATGTAACAACGGTTTCAAATCAGCATCTCTTAGACCAAACATTAAAATGAATAACTAAAATAAAACTCCAAACATCTTTAATTGTGCTTTTTTTGTAAAGCTCTTTTAGTTTTAAACCTGATGTTTATAAGCTTCTTAGTTTTTGCAACAATCTGTAAATATACACAACTTTATAAGAAATTGCACACATTTACCTTTTTCTAGACTAAACGATCCTATGATCCTAAGTTAAAAACATGAGGTTATCAAGAGGTTGTTAACATCGCAATTTATCCGTGGATGTTTGCTGGAA